AAATTGAGGAAGTCCTAAGGCTTTGGAAGGAAATCCACTCACATGTGTTGCGAAAGGGAGCAGGTAACATTAGAACCATTTAGAAATATGACTGGGCGCGTTTACACGAGACACTAAATGTGCAGTAGACTAATTCTATGACGTAATAGCATGGCAGGCAAAAACCATGGTAATGTGCTAATGTGAAGTAGAATTAGTCTACTGCACGTTAGCATCACAAAAAAGCATGCCTCTGCACTACTGCACAGTAGTGTCAATTATGGCACACTAAACTGGTACCCGTTATTACAGATACTAAATATAATGCACCATAACTACGATGCATTAATGAACACGTAAACACGCCCACTGTGTTGCTTTGTAGGGTTTGTCTTACCCACCTCCCCCTTACTAGCATGCTGAAGATCATGCTTCTCCATTTTCTGCCTGCTCTGCCAACACTCTCTTGATGCCAGTTACAGGCTTGAAAGCAGCAAGCATTTGCTGCTAGGGACTGTGATTTTAGGCGCTGAACTTGCCAGACAGAAATCTACCCAGGGACTGTGAAGCTCTTGTTATACACAGTCGCTTGGAAGTGGAAAAAGCATAAAGTCCAGCTCTTGCATTTGCCCAAATACTGACCACCACAGAGGAAAAGTGGCATGAATATGGAGCTGAGACTCCACAACTCAAGGAGGAACATATGCTGAGAGGCAGCAAGGATATTCCAGGACTTAGTTGGGCTGGGTCTTATTGGGAAGAAAGAGTGAAGAGGGAAGCAGGATGCCTGCTCAGGAGAGGAGAGATAATATCCTCTGCATTCCAACGGTTAAAATAGTGGCAAGCCTGTTATGTAACACACTAGCTAAGTGCGTTCTGTTACCTCTAAGCTAGGTAGAGACAGTCAAAAAGCCCAAGGCTGGATCAATTCAGTCTTTCAAGTTAGTCTAAACTGCAGAGATTGAGCTGAGAAGCAAGTGAACAGACATTCACTTTTGATTCTGGAAATGCAGCTGCATGCCTGCAGTGGCTCAGGCCAGAAACCGGGGGGTGCTAGAGCATCCTCCCAGACTGCCAACCACTACCAAAGGGATGGGACTGGAGGTCCAAGGCTTTTCCCCCATTCCTGCTCAAGCAGAGGGGGTGTGGCCAGGGCCCAGCCTGGAGCCAGCATGCTGGAGGGTGGGGATTTAAATCCCTTCCCTGGCCCACATGAGACCCCAGCCCAGGTCTGCCTGGACCAGGGGGCAATGCCTGCCAGGCTTCTGGCCCCCCACTCGAGATGCAGGGAGGGCAGCCCTCCCAAGCTGATGAGGGGGTGGGTGGGGCAAAAAGTAGTGGCATTGAATTCATAGAAGTTTGAACAAGAACAGTCCTTTTTCTGAAGCGAACACATATTGAACACAGCACTTTGCAACCTCAAGCCCACAACAAAGAACCACCAAAAAACTTTGCTCAAGCTAAGATACAGCCCAGTAAAACACAGTGTGAGCACACACAGCTTAGTCTAACTTTACATGGAATATAATAAACCAAAAAGACAAGACAAAGCCTTGCATAAATCTTATGTAATCCCAAGGGCAGAGTGTCTCCTTACAGCCAGGTGTTCAGAAAGTCCTTCCTGGGGAATCAGCGGGCAGTCTTAGGCATTGGAGTTGAGATCCCAGCCCTCATCTTTACTTGGGTTTTTACAGGCACACTCGCACGCCCTTCACCCCTTTGGGTGCCTTGACATTGGTATGCTTGTCACCATCCTATAGCACCTTTGGCAGGACTCTCATGCATTTAGCGTCTTTTGTCTCTGCTTAGGTATTCCAGTCTCCCACCTTGTACAGGTTCTGCTTTATAATGTAAATGTAGTTCTCTGCTTCCTTTGGTCACAGCAGCCCAAGCAGTCTCCTGTTCCCTTAGCTTCCTCTCCAGCACATACGTGTGACGATTGTGCCAAGTACTTGCCAACACTTCCCACCTCTCAGTCTGGTCCTGCAGGGCTTGGCTCTGCGCTCACAGGTGGTGGGGGACCAGTCCGTCCAGCCCCAGTTCCCCAGCCTCTTCCCCCTCCCCCATGGCCTGGGGGAGCTGAGAGGAATTACACCCCCTTCCCTTATCAACTGCTTGCCTCAGTCTCTGCCAGAAGTGGGAGGGGATGGAGTCTGCTGGTCTCCTGCCAACCCCCTGCCAACATGACCCTGGCTGGGGTCCCATACCAATGGGAGAGGGGGTTTAAACCCTCCCCCCTCCTTCTGCTTGAGCCTGCCTGCCCACACACTCAGTCCCCTCTGCTCCAGCGGGGAAAAGTCTGACTGCGGCTGCACCCCCCATGCCCAGGTAGACCTGGCTGCAGTCCCCAGCCAGGTTTCCCATCCCCACCCCCTTGTCAGCCAGTCCTCGCTGCTCCAGCTAGGGAGCAGAGGGGCAGAGCCAACCCTGCTCTCTAGAGCAGACAGCACAGCCCAGCCCCGGGCTGCAAAGGATCCTGGGATGCTGGGGGACTGTAATTTAACTTGAACCAAGAAGGGGTCTGGGACAGAAGTTTCCTAAACTGGTTTGACCTAAATCAATTAAGTCTGATACTACATTCAGCCAGGTTTATCTTAAACCAGTTTCAGCTATTTTGAAACTGGTTTATGTGCACTAAACTTCTGTTCTGTTTCACAGTTAAATTAGTTTCTGATCACTTAAACCAGTTTATGTGCAACTTCTGTCCCTAGCCTAGTGGCTTTACCACGGAGGGAGTAAGAGGCAATTACTGCTATTGGTCAAAGGAGTTGCTCCTTTAGGTCAAGACACTTATGATTTGGAGTTAGAAGTCTGAGAGTCAGTTCTCACTGTTGACGTGCATTAGGTTTCACTCCTGTTGATAATACAGCTTGCAAGAAGTTTCCCCCCTGTACTACGAAATCCTGTTATGTGTTGAATGGTCTGGTTAAAACAACGTACTTCTGTGTGGACAAGATGCCTAGCTCCCAAGCCTGGCATATGAATCAAAGTGGAGAATGCATTAGTAACTCAACAGGGTTCAAGTCTGCTTCCCCCTGTTTACTGCAAATATTCACAGCATCATGTTATTGAGAGTCACAGCAGCCCAAGCAGTCTGGGACACTCTCCTGTTCCCTTAGCTTCATCTCCAGAGAAATGAAATGTAAATGAGAAAAATGGGTTCAAACATGCCGGCTGAGGAAGCAATTTTGTGTGCAATCATCCATCCTGAACTTGAATCCACCTCTACAAGTCTCTCGGGTTCTGGGGCTCAACAAAAGGGTTTTTTTGCAAGGGAATTAGCAAGTCCTTTGGATCAGCGGTTTAACATCCAGTGAAAGGGAATGGGGGCACTTCTCATCCCATGAGGCATCTAAAAACCATATACAACAGCCAGTATAAATCAGGTGTGTGAAGAACCCAAAGGCAAATCCTGTAAATCATGACAACGTTCCCATGCATTAATCCCTTCAGCCCCATTAAAGGAAGAGAGAAAAGACTGAAGATACTGTGTTTCAATCTGGTATCTCCAAATCGACTGTTGAGGACCTGTTTTCCCACAAAACAAGTTACAACTGGAAGGAAGTTCAAAGCCTACAGAAGGGCACGCTGAATAAACTCAGGAGGTGAGTTGCCCTGCAAGGCCAGTGGCTCTGGTGTGGGCTGCCTCTAGTAGCACAAGAGGAGATACTTATAAGCTATTTTGTTATTCTATCTATTTTATTCTCCCAAACCAAGAAGAGCAGAAAGTCCTTTTTAAGAGATGGAGATAGGCTAAAAGTCTGTATCTGCATTTAAAAAAAAATGTAGTTCCAAAATTATACTTTTATACCTTCCTACTTCTGAACAAAATTCACCTCTGGGTGCTGAGAGAGCATCCGCAAGGTCAGCGCCAAGGATGAAATGGTTTTGAAAGTGAACGAGCATTGAAAGATAAGGGAGATTTCACTCTCTGGCATCAACATTAGCAACAGCAGGGGCAACCAGCGTTCCTGTGTGAAAAATAGCAAATCAATGATGCTGTGTCCTTTAAAAAACGGCTTCGCTTTGTAACAAATGATAAGTCGCTGGAAACGTAGGGGGAGAATGTTAAAGCCAGAGAGAAAATAAACAGCAGCACAGGGAGTAAGCAGAGAAAAAGAGAGGGAAGTGGAAAAAAAGCAGGGAGAGGGGCAATGAAGAACCAGGAGCGACAGGAGGAGAAGAGAGAGAGAGGAAAAGGGTCTAAGAAAGAGCAGAAGGTGCTTGAAGATGAAGAAATAAAGGTGCCAAACCAGCAGTGGTTTCCTTCCAGTTCTCTCTGTCCCCCGGTTGCTGATGCTTTGTGCTGTTAATATATTTAACATCAGTCCTAAAGTGCTTGAGATTTCAGCACTTCAAATTGTATTTTATTTTAAAAAGACAATACTAGCAAGGGGTACATCTGCAAAGTGCCCCATAACCTGACAGAGGGGAAACCATTTCCTGGCGTGATTCATAATGAGGCTTAACCCCTGAAACTGCAGGGGACTCAAGGTTTACATCACAGAGAAGGAACTTCATAAGCAAGTTGCCACTAGGTTTCTACCTGATGCATCCAGCCCCACAGGGAAGTCTTCCCAGCAGAGACTCTCTCAAGCAGTGATGGCCATGCAGTACTGATGGACCAAGCCAAGAAGTGCCTATTCGGTGCACATTTAGCAACGCCTTTGCAAAGTGGGAAGGAAACTATCTCCAGATTCTAGCAGACTTTCAGTCCAGGGGTCTGAGGGGCTGATCTTGTTCTTGCTTAGCCCTGGCTTAATCAAAAGAAAATAAGTGGCATAGTGCAGACACTTGCAGATCTAAGATCTCCCGCTCGACTATCTTTGCACCCCCTCACCTGGAAGAGATTTCTTGACATCTGAAATCCCCAGATACCGCCCATGCCATATGATCCATAACTGCTCCTTTGTAGTTACCCAATTGGATTATTATGCATTATTTTGATCACCAACCCTAATATTTACATGCAGTTCATGAATAGAGGTACACATGTATATACACACGAGGGAGAACCGTACCTTCTTGTGGAGCGTTCTTGTCCCATACTGACCACATCTGCACAAAGAAAAATGGAGTCCAGCACACTATGAAAGCTAAAACTATGATGAAGGTCATTTTGACTGTCCGTATCTTGGCTTTAGAGATGAGCTTGATGCTGCTGACCCTGGACAGTGCCGCCCCACTGGAGTTGGTGGTCAAACTCACGTTGGTCTCATGGGCTGTCTTTAGTTTCACGTTCTGCCAGATTTTGAAGCTGATCAAACCATAGCAGACACTCAGCATCAGCACAGGGATGATATAGACTGTCAAGGTTATCCAAGTAATGTAGGCTTTGAGTCCCCAGGGCTGGATGAAATCTGCCCAGCAGTCATACACCCCATTGCCCACATCCCGGAGGGAAAATATGTGGATCTGGGGGATGCTGACTAGCAGGCAGAGAAGCCAGGTGAGGAGGACAGACAGCCGGTCAGACCTCCTGTGCAATGACCTCAAGGGCTGACAGATGGCCAGGCACCGGTCCAGGGACATCAGCAAGAGCATGTAAGTGGAAGCAAACATTCCCACTACTTGCAGGTACTTGACCAGGCGGCAGAGGAAGTCTGGCCCATAAAACCTGAAGGTGATGTCCCAGATGAGCTGGGGCAGCACCTGGAAGATGGCCACCACCAGGTCGGCGATGCTCAGGTGCTTCATGAAGTAGTACATGCGGGAGTGCTTGTGCCGGGTCGTGCGGATGGCCAGAAGCACACACAGGTTGCCAGTCAGGGCAAGGAAGAAGATGAGGCAGAGCACTGCCACTTCTACCTTCGCCATGTCCTCGTTTCTCTTCAGGGGGTCAGTTGTGCTGTTCTTCCCATAAGTCAGGTTCTCCAGGCTCAGGCTGGTGTTTTCTAGCGAACTGTTGATCGTCCAAAGGTCATTCCCTGCAAAGTACAGCTTCTCCATGGCCGGCTCCTTCCCATATATTATTTTGCAGCAGAGGAAACTCCGGTGGTAGAGACTTGTGTGTGTCCTGGTCACAGCCTCCCCTTGCTGAGGACCATGGCTCTCAGTTCTTCAGTGGTGGGTAGCTGCTCATCTGGGAGCTCACCCTTTTCTCCTGCGTGAGCCAAAGGGAGCCAGGTTCTGCAGGCTCGGTCCTCCTGAGGCAGAGATGGTCTTAGCATCCAACTCCTCCCCCTACGGAGGCACTTGGCATGTCCTCAGACTCCTGCCCCCAAACAGAAACAAAGCAAGGCATTACAGCAAATCAATATTCCTGTCCTCTCTCAGGAGCCGCGTCTCCCCCTCACTCCCCAGCCTGCCAGTTCAGTGCAGGGCCTTCCACAGCATTGATTTGTTTCTCTCCCACTGAAGTCTACATTGCAGGAACCTCTCCCTTCCCCCCCAAATTCACTTTATAGACACCAAAAGCTGTAAGGGCAAGATGCTGCATTACTAGTACCCTGCATTGCCCTCCTCCAGCTGCAGCATGCTTTTCTTTTTTCTTAGCCTTTTGTGCCAGACACCTGTATAGCTGGGGACATGGATCCATCGAAAACTTGGCCAACTTGAAAGGTTAAAGTCAAAAGGTCCCATCTTACCTTTCTCAGCTCCTCCTTTGAAAACTCCCAGCTTTACTGGCTGAAGTTGCCGCTTTCTGTTGAAAAGAAGAGCCCAGAAAAGATCTAGGAGTTCAGGTGAGGCTCTCCCACAGCAAGACATCTGGCTGCTCCACAACTTTGCTCTCAAACGAATCCAAGGAGAAAGGAAGCAGCAGAGAGAGAGGAGAGGAGGAGATTAGAGTCAGCCCTTTAGGAGTCACTCATGGATAAAATATACTGCTGTTGGAGTAATTATACATCCTGTACAAGTGCTGCATTTCTGGGTTCATCCACGAGGGGATGCAAGAGGCCAGTGCTTTACCAACTCCTACCATGAATAATTTAAAGATCAGGGAAGTGGATTTTGCCTATCAATTACTGGGATATCACTGCACCGGGCATTATTTGGGATTTACAATGGGGTAGTTACAGCATTAAACACTGTGTCAGCATTGGCTCCTTCATTTCCTAATAGATCAAAACATAGCAAAAGGAAAAATAGTGTAAATAAAGTTCTCTCTCTTTTTCTCCTAGCAGTTGCATGCTATTGCTTATCTCACTGCAAGAAAGCCTGAATGTTTTATATAGGGGCAACATTTACCTTCCGGACAAATGGGCAAGAGCCGTAACGATCAAAATAATTGTATGAATTAAAATTAATCTTTCCCATTGGGTCAATGCACATTAATTGCTTGCTTTCACAAAATCCCAGGCCACCCAAATTATCCCGGCTTTGCAGAAGCATATGCATATAACTAGCAAGCCCATAATAGAATTTCCCTCCCAAATACTGTTTAATGCAAGTCAGATGCACTGTGTAATTTTATTTGTTTCTAGTAAGTTTGCTTCCTTTTTTGGTTTTATTCCCACCTCATTATTTTCTTAAATAAGACTTTGTCTCATTCCCCACACCCTGAGTAGCTGGGACCAGTAAAATGCATATGGGAAGATCTGAAGGGGCTAGATGAGATGTTGTTTTCTTGACGTAAGAGTTTAGGATTGTGGTGAGACCTTTAAGAAGTGCCCCATCTGTTAGAGTGAACTGGAGCTGCAGATTAATTACTCTCTTTTGTGTTGACAATCGGAAACCAGAAAAAGAATGTCAAATGCTAATGAAAAATGCCCATCATAATTAAAGCTTTTACTGAATAGAAGAGTATGCCCGTGCTTTGTTTCTAAGGGATTTCAGCTCCCAGCTTCTTTCTGTCCATGACAGAACCAGGTCTTTGAGTTGCAGCTCTGGAATATTTTATCATATTTTAAAAATAATACTACTACTAATAAAGCTAGGATGCTTTTGTGGCAAGATTCTTAAACTTGCTATTAAATGGCTTCTACAAATGAAAAGGGGAACAATCTATTTTGCAATATTCACTAATGCTTCTGTTCTTTTACCATATATATTTCAGTTCCCCAGGGCCAGGTTTTTCAAGCTATTTAGGCCTTTAGAAAACAGATTGGAAGTGTTGTTAAACATCTGAAAAATGTCAAAATTTGAAGTGGGCTAGAACTTTGGTATGTTTTTCCTCTAAGGTTCATGTTCTTCCTTGTTAATCAATAAGCTCTACTGTGGGAATTGACAACGCGAAGCAATCACCAGACATGATACCTTTTTCATTGCCTTTTTTGCAAGAGCTATAGAAAGTTGAAGTGACCGTGGGCAAAATCTTGACCTCGCTGAAATAAATGGGAGGTTTGCCATTGACTTCCATGGGCCAGAATTTCATCATTTGCATTTTGCTTCTTGAACATATTGCAGGGTATAGAATAACGGTAAAAATTAGCGCTTCAAGTTGAAATGCAAGTCCACTGTGTAGTCTGTAACAGACAAACCTAATGGGGACTCTGTAATAACATCACTAATACTCTTTTTTCCTTGTAAAGTTAAGTAAGAGGAGACTTGAGTCTGGAGTTACACAAACTCACTTTGACTGATACTCATTTCTTGGTAGAACATTAGCCAGGTTTTACCTGTAAATAAGTGTTACTTTAACCGTGTTTCTTAAAAGTAACTGTGTGGGACTAAATGTCTTGAAAAGCCACGGGCAATTCCTAACTGTGTTTTGTTTGAATATTGAACCACCCAAGTCAGACGTGGGAGATAGCCTTTAGCATTCATTCAGTTTGTCTCCTTGCCAATGCAGAATTGTTCCCCGTGGTACATTTCTCTCTCGTTCCATCTCGTCTAATTTAAATGCACACAAGTGGTTGAAGCATTAGTCCTTCAAGGTGAGGGGGATTGCACATCTCCTCAGGTGACATTGCAAAACATTGAGCCTGCTCAGTTTGCAGTCTCTTTTTCCACCCCCCACCCCACTCTTTTTGCTGCAGTTTTACTTGGGTTGTTTTACTTGCTTTCTGCATAGGAGAAGTCAGAATCTCTTCCTTCTTAGCTGCCGGTCAGCTGGTTGTTTAGGTAAGACATGCCATGAAACAAGATGCTGAAGGGTGATTACACATGGGAAACACAAAACTGCACAGAGAACAGATTTAGAGAGAGGACTCTAAGAAAAGAAGCGATTTTAGTCCTACGCTGCTAACACAGACCATCCCTCAGGAGGTTGCATTTCAGTGGCAGAAGGGAGGAGATGGGCCATCGCTCTCTCCCCCTTCTCCTTCAATATACTGACAGGCACCTCTGAACTAACACGCCGGGTGGTGTAATTCTTCCCAGGTAGAAGGCCAACAGCCATTACTTTCATCCCAGAGCAAGAACAACCTCCTGGAACAGGGCAAGTACATGCTGCGCCTTTCCACAAGCTCGAGTCCAAGCAACACTTTAGTGCTGTATATAATCGATGCCACCATCCTTGGGTGAGGAAAGTTATATAAATACCTAAAAACCATGTAATTCGATAAACAGAGATGTGGCTGCACAGTGCCCTACGCCCATGAAAATGGAGTCAGTAGATGCACTCCAGATTTATGCCAGCTGAATCAGGGCCTGGCTTTCAAGCTGTAATGTGCATCGAGATCCTTGAGGGTACCCAGACACAAGTAGCTTTGATTAATGGAGGTAACAGCTGAAAGAGGAAACCGTGTTTAAAAGTCATTAATGGGCCAAATGGCTGACATTGCCAACAGGGAAATTAAAGTTAATGTGCAAATTGCTTGGGCAATGGGCTGAGGTCTCTCCAGCACCAAATCCTCAAATACTTATATAAATCTCAACCATAATTGGCAGATAGGGCTGGAATTAGACAATGACAACTGAGAAGACACATAGGGGAAACCAGATGGCAAGCAGACTTGAGGAATATGTTAAGAAGGATTCCAGAAGACAAATGAAGCAAAAGCAAGTAGCTTCACCTCTAGCTGACACGGGTAACAAAGCAACTGCTTCTATGGATAGGTCCTTCCATAATTATCAAATATGAGATTTATTATTTTTTACAGCTTCCTCAAGCATCTGATGCTGGCCAAGGTTCTTGAGAGGACACTGGACTAGCTGGAGCACTAGTCTAGCAATGCGGAAGCTACTAATACCCAGTGGGTCATTATGCTAAGCACTTTGTAAACCTATACAGAGAGACATTTACACCATATTGAGCTTATAATCCTTATATGTAAGAGAAGAAAAGGACGGGAATGGGAAACCGATGCAGAGAAGGGAAGTGGTTTGCCTATAATGACAGCACAATACTGCCAAAGTTGAACATGGAAGCCAGGTCTTCAAATTTCCTGTGTGCCCACCTCCCCTTAGAGATTATAATACATCTCTTTTGGTAAAGGTCTGTGTTTTGGGGGCAAATTACCTATTTATGGAGCATATTATTTATTTAATGCCACTTTATCTCTCTGTCTGCTTACTATGGTAGAGCCCCATCTGAGCTGTAGAAATCTGGTGGACATGTTCAACCTAGCAAGCAGCAAAGATTCCAGTAGGTACAGACAAAAACATTGCTTCATTGATTTAAAAGAAATTTAAAAGACATAAACCAGGCTCCCATCAGCATGGTGTATGGCAATGGTTTAGACCAAAGTCAGCGAAGCTCCTTCTGAGCAGAGGTCTGCACACAAAGATCCAGACTCAGAGGATCTGTTGTATCCTTTCCCTTCAACCTTTCATGTGTTATGTGCCTTCTTGGATGTTTGCCACTTCAGCCTGGGGAGATGGATCCAAATTTTCTCCTTGGCAGAGATCTCCTGGGCGAGGGTATAATAGACGGTGTTAGGGAATCCATGGGAGACCAGACTCCCCCACAATGAACCTTAGAGATGTTGTTGGGCAGCTATAAATTGCACTCCAAAGACACTGCATTTAATAGACCCTATACTAATGGAGACTCCTACAGTAGTATAGTAATGGCTTTCTACCTGACTCTAAGGGCTTGTACATGCTGTTTCCTCTCTGCCATGATTGGGACCATTATTGTGCCACATGTACCAAATCCTGGAAATGAGGCAATGTCGCCATCTTCAAACTCCTCCAAGAGTGCACTTGTAAGCGTGGCCAAACCAGGGAAGTAGTGGGCACACACTCAGTGCCACTTCAAAGGACTCATCTTTAAGAGGTGACAGGAGGAAGGAGCAAGTAGGCAGGGCATGCTATCTGACAGTGCTCCCCAGTGAGGCATGGCTCCAGTGTAGATATGCCCAGACACATTGTCCATGCTGATCTACAGGGGAAATGGAAGCATATACCCAGCTCTTCAAATTACTGCTGGGAGTGGCAGTCTTGTTTCATCTAGGTTCTAGTACCTCTCTTTCTTTTTTAGAGACCCCAAATGCTTCAGCATCCAAGCTCTCCTGTGCTTGTTACCTGAATGCAAATGAACTTCCAGACACCTATAGGCTGTCTCACCCCTAGCTATTTACTTATGGCAGCAATAATACAATAAAGCACCTCCCACAAAAAGCACATTTCTCAGGGCAAGTTCTGGATAGCACAGGACTCAAAGGCAAATGATTTTATCTCACCTTTCCATCTCCTCCATCCTGAGATCAGAGCTTGCTTATCAGCCAAGGACTGCCAAAGCATTAAGCCACTTAAGAAGACTAAGAAACGAGGTATAGGCAGTGATTTATTGAGGAACAAATCACATTTATTCCAAAAACCTGCATTGCTTAGATGTTAGATTTTGCTTCCAGGGACATCACTCCTGTCCATGTGTAGTAGCTGCCCCAGGCACCCAGCCGCATCACTACGCCTCTGGAAAGACCATATAGAATCAAGTGAACTCTGCAAAGAAAAAGGATCCTATTACACTGTGCATGAAACCATGTGTGGCTACTAAT